AAACAACATTTTTGCCCCCCAAATTGTTACTTCATTAGTAACCACACTACCAAGAATCACAAACCAAGATACAACTCCCAAGTTTCCTTCTATTTCCCACATAATCAAAAGAAAACTAAACCGTTCCACCCAAAACCAAAAATAGAGTACACATCACACATTACATAACTCATTAATATTATTTTTCCTGAAAATAAAACCCCTCAAATCGAGGATCTCAATTCCACCAAATTCCTAATTCACAAAAACAAGAAGCCCGAAAAGCGCATGAACAGTGCAGAGCACGTTAAAGAGAGAAACGGGATAATCATACCACGTTGCACAAAATGGTGAGATTATTGAGAGGGAATTGAGAAAACGCATGCATCACACGGGCGAGGAGAAGAAGCACTACTACAAGATACACATTTTACATCGGTTCTTTAAAGTAAACTACATGAGTCGAAATATTACATGAGATTCCTCGAAAAATAATATAAAGTCAAGACACCTGACAGTAACAGATGTTCGAGATCGAAAAAAAAATTGTTTCAAGTAAAACAATGATATGCTTGAAGAAATAGAGAAGTTATTGAAGATTTCTTAGGGTTACACCGAGGTGGTTATTAAAGTGTGGATCAAGGAAATAAAACACGTGGGAAGAACGGTTAGAGGAAGTTACTTTCTAAGCCACGTATTTTACGTAGTGGATAGCGGTTACGAGCCCACGACACATGCATACGAAAGATAACTGCTCTCGAGAGTCTCTATAAATAGAAGAAGCATAGCCTTTCACAAAGGTCGGAAAACTCATACTTGAACTGAACTCTCAAGCACTCACCGCCTGCGCATATTGCTTTCGTGCAAGGAATCGTTTTTGGGTATGACTACTTCTCGGCCACTTTTCTTTTCTCTTTTTAGGATTAGGATTAGTGTAGTCTTCTTTGTTTCCTTTAATCACGTAGTTTTAGATTGTTGGTAGTGTAATACTTGAACATTATGCAAAGTGAACCATGATCTGTGTTGCAAATATATCCATTGTTCATTCTGTTCATCTGAGTATTTATGTACATGAAAATTATTACTTGTTAATTATTGATGAATACTTGGAAACAATTAATCATTGAAGCTTTCTGCTCCATCTCTCGTTCTGCATTTCATTTCGTAAAAACACGTCAAATACTTAAATTGAAACACTTCTCGTGTGCTAGTACGAATAAAAAGAATCCATAAATCTAATTCCACCATAAACAAATTGGAATGCCCGGTGGGACATTCATAATTGAACTAGTTTTAGGTATGCATGTTGTATGAGACTTAGGAGTGTAAGAACCATGTCTACGTCTAATAATAGGAGAGAAACGAACAATGATAATCAAGTAGATGTAGAAAAAGTAAATCCCAATCTTGATAATGTGACTAACGTAACAAGGGGGGCAACATCTTCCCCTGTTGTGTTCGAAAATATGGCTAGGCAAACTAATGTGACTCAGGAACTAGCAAATGTCACTAGGGAATATCCATGGGGTATGCCACCAAATTGGCGGACTACCCAACCCGTACATGTCGAAATGCCAGTACTGTACTTAGGACCAAATCCACAAATGCACGTATCCCCACAAGAATATAATCCTAGACCAAATAGTTTGGGTTTTGTTATGCAAGACCCATATCAACATGTAGGGACAAGTTAGGAAGGTTCCCTGATTCGACAGGGTAGTTATGTACCCACTAGGATTAGTAATCAAGCCATGATGGCTCTTCGACAACAGATGGACCATAGTAATCATGACATGGTCAATTTGTTGTCAACCCAAATGCACAATATAATGACTCCTTTGTATGAATTAATAAACAAAATAAGAGATAAATTGGGTGATGGACCACCTTCGAGAGCCATGAGTGCAAATTTGAACGAGATGGAAAATCTAGGTGGGAATGAAATTTTTCCTCAAAACGTAATTCGACCTAATAGGAATCCCAATGATAATTTAGATCAAATGGTAGAACGGATACTAAACAGGCATGGTTTTGATGTAGGTCGAAATGAACGTCCTTATTTTGTGTCAGCCTTTCCAGATCACGTAACTCAAGTAGAACTGCCTAGGGGGACAAAAGTCCCAAAGTTTTCGAAATTCGCGGGAGAATTAACTGAGTCTACTGTCGAACATATAGCTAGGTATCTAGTCGAATGTGGGGATTTAGTGAACAATGAATATTTAAAATTGAAGTATTTTCCAAGTTCGCTGACTAAGCATGCTTTTACATGGTTCATAACCTTACCTCCTAATTCGATAAACACTTGGGTTCAATTGGAAGGTAGTTTTTATGAACACTTCTTCAGAGAAGAAACGAAAGTTAGTATAGTTGATCTAATGAACGTTAAGAGACAAAGCCATGAAACATTAGATGACTATTTAAATAGGTTCAGGCAATTAAAATCTCGATGTTATACTAATATACCTAAGCATGAATTAGTTAAGATTGCAGCAACAGGATTAGATTTCTCAATACGTAAAAAATTGGTAAATGAACAGTTGAGAGATATGGCTCAGTTAGCAGAAAAGGTTAGAAGGATTGAACAAATGAAGTTAGAAAAAGAAAGATTGAGAAAGTTTGTTAGGTTTGTTCGAAAAGAAAAGGTAGCCTATTTAGAAAATGCAAAGATGAATGAGGAGGTTAACTATGAGATTTCGAGTGAAGAATTTGAGGTTAACTTAGCAGAGTTACGCCCTGGTCCTACTTATCAGTGTCAAATGTTAAAACCAGGGGACAATATAGAAGGGAATTCGACCAAGAGATACAGTTTCGATGTCACTAAGGCTGATAAGATATTTGATATCTTATTAAAAGATAAACAAATTGTACTCCCAGAAAACCATAAAATTCCACCATTCGAGCAAAGAAAAGGGAAGAAATTTTGTAAATATCATAATATGTATGGTCATTGGACTAATAATAAAATATGGATCGATTTTTTTGAAATTGGATCGGTTCGGTGCGGTGCAGTTATCCACTTTTTACTCATTGTTAGGCCTACTCGAAAACTACATGAGTCGAAATATTACATGAGATTCCTCGAAAAATAATATAAAGTCAAGACACCTGACAGTAACAGATGTTCGAGATCGAAAAAAAAATTGTTTCAAGTAAAACAATGATATGCTTGAAGAAATAGAGAAGTTATTGAAGATTTCTTAGGGTGCGCTCGTGCGTCTGGGTGAACATCATGGAGGGAAGTCGCTCTTGATGTCGAAGAGCGAGCCGAAGTAGAGCAGGTTGAGGAGGTCCTTGAGAACAGCGTTGTTCGAGTGCAGCGGCGGCTTACTGGAGTGAGATTTCTCGGCTAGGGTTTCGGTGCCATGGCGGGTGTGCGCGGCGGAGGCTTCAACGCTAGGTCTTACCAAAACTAAACAAGATGAATAGAATGTTTAGGGCTTCAACGTATGCGTCTGAGTATTACATCGGTTATTGAGTGAACCGATGTAGATGTATTTGTAATTATTTACAAAATTGCCACCGCGCATTCAAAACGACATCGGTTCCACAAAAACGATGTAAAATGCTTAATATTTACATCGGTTTCAGCTATAACCGATGTAAATATGCACTGTATTTGATTTTTACATCGTTTCTACCTAAACCGATGTAGAATTGACGATGTTGAATAGTCATTTTCTAGTAGTGAAGGAAACTACCAAGTGCAAACCCTCACTGCTTGGTGGTCTTTTCGCACTACAGGTTCTTCCTTTTTTTTCCGCCTCGCCAAAGGATGGGCCATGAGTTGTATATATGGTTCCCCCCATCACCCATGAACTCCTTCTTTTGTCTCTTTTCCTCCCATCCCAAGGAATTTTTTGTCAACCAGAAGGAGAATAGCCCCCATTAAGTGAGCATGAGGATCCTTGTGTGTCTGTTGCATTTGGAGTATCGCAAGTAGGCAACATAGGTAGCATAGACAACTTTTTCAGTTGCAAAACTAGGTTTGCACCACCTTGTACGAGAATGGGAGTAGCGTAGGGGCACAGGAGAAAGGCTTTGTTTCTTGAACTCAAAATGGTGCCTTCCAATTTTTTTTACTTGGTTTTTGTTTTTTTGACTCATTTATGTATTCCTTGATTCTCTTATTTCTTTCTATTTTGTTATTTTATTTTATATTATATTTTCAAAGGAAAAATTGTAATTAATCACTTTATTTTTATTTTAAATATACAAATCACAAAAGTATGTATATATATATACATACATATATATATATATATACATTATTCATTTATTCTTGAATAATTGATTTGGAGATTTGAGAAAGAAATTATTAGAAAAATTGATGGAACAAAATTGGTGTTTACAACCCCTAAAGCAACGGACAGATTGAAGCTGCAAACAAAGTCATCCTAAAGGAGTTAAAAAGACGATTAGGACAAGCTAAGGGAAGTTGGCTAGTACACCTGCCAGAAATTTTGTGGGCATACAGGTGCACCCCCCAAACCTCCACCAAAGATACCTTTTTCCGGTTAACATATGGAACGAATGCCATAATACCTGTAGAAATTGGAGAGACTTCATTAAGGCAACAACAATTCAGGGAAGACAACAATGGAGAAGCATTAAACGTAACCTTAAGCTTGGTTGACAAAGTTAGGGATCGAGCCCTAATTAGTATGGAAGCATGTCGGACAAGACTGGCTAGGTGATTTAAAAGCAAGGTCAAGCAACGGGAATATCAGCTAGGTGATTTGGCTTGGAAAGTCATAAAAGAAGCAAGAAAGAATCGAGCATAAGGCAAGTTGGCTCCAAAAGAAGCAAGAAAGAATTGAACGAAAATACTCACCCAAATCTTACCCGTAGGCACTACAATGAATACTCACAAAACCAAACGCAAACGAAATGTGTATCTTATATATATAAGATCGGA